TCTTATCTAGACATTTCTCGTAAGTGGAATAGACACGTGACCTTTCAGACCTGACTTCTTTCACTTAGTACCATGTTGTCAAGATTCATCCACATTGTGACGTGGGTATATTTTTTCTTTTTATGCATGAACCCTATTGTATGACTAGACCACAGTTTGTTTACCCATCATCAGTTGACGGACATTTGGGTTGAGTCCATTTTCCGGCCGTTGTGATGAACACTGCGTGAAAGTGCCTGTGTGTGAGAAGCAAGTTTGCGAGCCCTACACACCAAGGGCAGTGCTCAGCTTGCCAGAGTGTCTAGTGTCACCCTGCAGAGTTGTCCTCACATGCTGTGTGGCTGTGGATGAGGGCCATCCCTCTCTGCTTAAGTCTCTCCATCTTTCCAGAGCAGAGCTTGGGCCCTTCCTGCTCGGGTATTCTGCACCTCTTCCATGTACGTGGAAGAGCTGGGAGTGTGCGGAGGAAATAACACTGTATTGCTGGAACCAACAGTGGGCATCCTGCAATAACCACCAGAGCCAACAATGAGGATGAGGAAGGCCTGGCTCCAGCACCCCTAAGTCCCACCCTGGGCTCCCCCACTTGCCAAGAGGGGACTTTGGTCCCCTCTTCTCCAGGAGGACCGAAGTCTTCTCCCTGCAGACAGGTGGGCTTCCAGGATCCAGAACCTCCTTGCTGGGAAGGAAATGAGACAATACCAAGCTCCTGGTCCTGGCTCCTGCTCTGCTCCCCAGGTTCCTGAATCCTGCCCAAATGCAGCTGGACTTAGATCTGGGGAAAGCTAGGAATACAGGGACCCTGTTGGGGACCTGAGCACAGGCCAAGAGGTCTCAGGGTGTCAACTGCTGCCCCACCTCTGGAGTACCCCATCCCAGACACCAGATCAACACTGTTCATTTGGGCTCAAAGCTGTTTAGAAGATGCCTGCTGCCTTTGCCGGCCAGTGAGAGCCCCAGCGCTGGCCCTGGGCCTCCCAAAGCAGACAGACTAGACCTAGAAGTAGGAATGACAAGAAATTGCCAAATAGTAATTTACTAACAAAATTATTAAGTGACTATTGTGTGGTAAAGGCTCCATTACTTTCACCCCCATTTTAAAGATAAGGAAATGGGAGGCCAGGGATGTTGCTCAGCGGGACTGATTTGTCCCTGGCCATAGAACCAGGAGGAACAGCAGGAGGCTCACGCCCAAGCCAAACCTGAACCAGCAGATAAAGAACGTAGGGCTGTGGAGTAACAGAAGCAATAAAAGGTGCCCATGGGCCTTTAGTGAGCGCATTCAATTCTCACTGCAACCCTGCAATGCAATGAACAACTCTCCCCCAACTTACAGATGAGGAAACTGAGGCACAGAGGATTCAGCTCAGGACATTTCCCCAGCCAGGAAGCATGACCCTGACTCTAAAGCCCCCTGCCCTGGAGGACAGAGTCCCGTGAGCGGGCCCGAGACCCTCTGCAGCTTGGCCCTCTCCCTATTTGACACCAGCACCTCAGGGAGAAGAGTGGGTGAGCTCCGACCCTCCCAACACAAGTCTGAACAGTGGGCTCCCACCCCCCCCAGATCCAGTGAGGCCTCTGCCCACCTCTCCTTCTTTCCTGGACATCCACAGGCTGAGAGAAGGAGAGAAAGACATATTCTCCCGTATGGAGAGGGTACCCGCCTTAGAATAACAGGCCCCAAGGACCGTACAATAGCAGGGTACATTATTCATGGGTCTGTTGGCAGAACATCAATTATGTGGGCCTTCCCTGGAGTTGTCCGGGTTAGAAACTGGAGCAGGCTTCCCCTGCCAGCCTCTGGGAGAAATGGGCGTGCCCAGTTCTTAAAGAAACAAACTCCCCAGGAATTTGCTCTTCTCAGGCTGGCCGGAGTGGGGACCCAAGGCCTGGTTGGCCATCTCATGAAGTCATACCCACCCTGTGCCTCATCCTGGGCTAGTGGCTCTTCATGTGTAATCTCCTTTCCTTCTGTTCTACAACCTGTGGGGGCCTGACTGTTGGTGTATCCCAGGCAGCACAAGTTAGGTGTTGTTGACATGTGGGCTAAGCAATCCATTGTAGGGGCCGTCCTGAGCATTGTAGAATGTTTAGCAACATCCCTGGCCTCCCCCCTCCAGATACCAGTGACAAACACCCCACCTCCAAGTTTTGATAACCAAAAATTTCCACAGAAATTGACATGGGACTCAAAATCATCCCAGTTAAAAACGACCAGTATATCTCCATTTTACAAATAAGGAGATGGAAGCTTCAATGCCCACAGCCACCCAGGAAATAACAAAGCTAGACCTACCTCCAGGACCTCCCCGCCGACCCTCATGTGGGAGTTCCCCAAGTATGCCGCCATGTTCTGTCCCAATAACTACTATTTATTTTAATGAGTATTTGATACATGTATCCCTAGAAGCAAAACCAGTAGTTTTGCAAGTATTGTTTCTTAGGATAAGGCTAAAATAAAACAAAGTAGGTGAGTGGGTTTTTGCTTTTGGGGGTGGTTACTATTAAAGCAAGAGTGGGACAAGAAGCAAAAGAACACTTACTACATGATGTCCAAATGGAGCAGAAGGAACCGATCATTTGTTTAGAGATCATACGATTTCTTAATATAATTTTGCAAAGGGATGCAAAATAATTTTGGTTCTTTCTGGATGAGGGACCCACAGCCCGTGCCAGTGTTATCATAATGCCCTCTGATTCTCCACCTGGATGGTGGGTTCACAGAGACCCTGGCTGGGTCTTTGATTATGGTGACTAAAAACATATAAATTAGATGTCATTCTGCACATATTAGATCATCTTATAAAACATTTACAAAATTCTTGTTTTCCAGTGCTCAAAAAATCAAGAAAATAAAACTCAGAAGTCTTTTTTTAAAGACATGAGATAAGGCAGACATGACAATAGCAAAAAATCAAGCTGGTAGAACAATCCAGATGGGGGGGAAACCTGCATCATCAGATGCTTCTTTCCATTTTCTGAGCTGGCCTAGAGAGACACCACAGTCTTTACTATCTGTGGCATCTCTAGTGCCTAGCATGGTGCCTCCAGGTAGAAGATGATAAAGTTGCCATTTTGAAAACTGAACCCTGCCCCTTCCCCTGCAGTTCACAGAGCTACGGCCACAAGAGCCTTGGGTCACCAGCCTGGGCTAGGGGTTGGGGGCTGCAGAGATCTAGCTCAGAACTGACCCCTGCCTATCCTCACCCCAAGCTCTGAGATTCTGGGCAGTGGTGGACACATTCGCACACACACATACACACGCGCGTGTGCTCACACACACACACACACACACACATATACCTGTAAATAGGGTATTTAGTATCCCAAGGTTTGGCAAGACAATGAAGAAACCCAGAGGCTGGAGTAGCCAGCCCTGATGGTTCAAGTCTAGACTGTACTTGATCATTGAATTCAGAGGTCCCGTCACCCACTAACGACCTCTAGGTGCCTGAACTCAGATTTTCAGATGTGGGTTGACTGAGCCTAGCTTGGATTCTCTGTCCATCTCTGGGCCAATCAACAACAGTCAGCATTAAATGATAGCAGCCTGGTGGCCAGCCCAGCCCCAGCAAGGGCAGCAGAAGGGCTGGGGCAAGTCTGGGAAGAGAACAGATGTTGGGGTAGGGCAGGGAGAAGGCTAATAGACAAGTTTAGGGGTTTAGATTTTGTCTTTAAGAACCTTGGAAATTTATTAATTTCCAAGTGATGTGATTGGATTTGTTGTTGTGAGAGCAGACCTCCAGAGCAATATATTACAACCACTTGCATTTCTGCATAAGCTGCAGGCTAGTCCATGAGGCTCCATTCATTTCTGCAAACACCCAAGTAAGCCTTTTCTCTGAGCCAAGCTCTCTTCTTGATCCAGGGGACTCAAAGTTAGTGAAGTCATGATCCTGAGACTCAAAAGCATGAAGTTCCAATTGGGAATTAAGAACATGGGTCCAAGATGCCTCTGCCTCCCTGGAAATAGCCTGCAAAATCTTATTTGTCCAGCAAAAGGTTCCAAGTTGTCATCTGATTCTAACGCAGTTTAGTATCTTGTGCTCTGGGGTCAGACAGACTTGGGTGAAAATCCCAGCCTTGCCACGTACTAGCTTTGGAAGCCCAAGTTTTCCTCATCTGTTCAATAGAGATATGGCCCTTAATGGGATTGTTATAAGAATGAGATAAAGATAAAGAAGAGGGCCTCCCTCGTGGTGCAGGGGTTAAAGTCTTAGCGCTAACAAGCTATCACCAGGTACTAAAGCATGAGTTCGATCCCCAGCAAGGGAGCTACCCACATGGCACAGCAGACCTCTCCTGTCTTGCCCTCTGCTCCCCTCAGCAGTGTATTTCAGTAGATCTGCTTGTTCTGCTCCCCACTTTGCCTCTGGTGAATCCTCTCTCCCAACCCCCCACATCTCTGGCCTATGTCCCAGTTCTTATATGCATAAGTCAATCTTTAAAAAAAGATAAATAACATACTAAGAACAATTCCTGCCTAAAAGGTAATGATTTTTGTGATCATGAGTATCATCTTCCAGAAAACAGTGCCTCCCCCCTGTATCAGTTACTAGTCAGCAAATGATGGCTCACAGGGCAATTTCAGTCAACTACCTATTTTGTAAGTAAAGTTTTATTGAAACACAGTTACACCTTTCTGCTCAGGTATTATCAAGGCTGCTTCATGCCACCACTGCTGTTAAGTGGTTGCCATGAAGAACTCATGGGCTCCAAAGTCTAAAATACCTACTATCCAGCCCTTTATAGAAAAAGTTTGCGCACCCCTGAACTAGGTGATTATCTTTAAATCATTTCACTCCTCTCAACCTCTGTTTCCACATCTGTACAATAAATGGATTTAAACAATATTTTTTAGCTCAAACATCCAGTTATTAAGTGGTTAGCAGGAAGTGAAAATGCTCTTATGTCTTGAAGAGCGTCCTGTAGACCCAGAGTATTAAGGTGACCATCTGTTTGGTGACTGAGAACTAAATCCTACTCTCTTCTCCTCACAGATCCTTGCCATAATTTCCATCATGTTTATCGTCCTCTCCACCATTGCCCTGTCACTCAACACGCTGCCGGAGCTTCAGAGCCTTGATGAGTTTGGCCAGACCACAGACAACCCCCAGCTCGCCCATGTGGAGGCTGTGTGCATTGCCTGGTTCACCATGGAGTACCTGCTGCGATTCCTCTCCTCACCCAAGAAATGGAAGTTCTTCAAGGGCCCACTCAATGCCATTGACTTGTTGGCCATTCTACCATACTACGTTACCATCTTCCTCACTGAATCCAACAAGAGTGTGCTGCAGTTCCAGAATGTTCGCCGTGTGGTCCAAATCTTCCGCATCATGCGTATCCTCCGCATCCTTAAGCTAGCACGCCACTCCACTGGCCTCCAGTCCTTGGGCTTTACCCTACGCAGGAGCTACAATGAACTAGGCTTGCTCATCCTCTTCCTCGCCATGGGCATCATGATTTTCTCCAGCCTGGTCTTCTTTGCTGAGAAAGATGAGGATGACACCAAGTTCAAAAGCATTCCAGCCTCTTTCTGGTGGGCCACCATCACCATGACGACCGTTGGGTATGGCGACATCTACCCCAAGACTCTCTTAGGGAAAATTGTGGGGGGACTGTGCTGCATCGCTGGGGTCCTGGTGATTGCTCTTCCCATCCCCATCATTGTCAATAACTTCTCTGAGTTCTACAAGGAGCAGAAGCGGCAAGAGAAAGCAATCAAACGGAGGGAGGCGCTCGAGAGAGCCAAGAGAAATGGTAGCATCGTATCCATGAACATGAAGGATGCTTTTGCCCGAAGCATTGAAATGATGGACATCGTGGTGGAGAAAAATGGAGAAAATATGGGTAAGAAGGACAAAGTGCAAGATAACCACTTGTCTCCCAACAAATGGAAATGGACAAAGAGGACACTGTCAGAAACCAGCTCAAGTAAGTCCTTTGAAACCAAGGAGCAGGGATCTCCTGAAAAGGCCAGATCATCTTCCAGTCCTCAGCACCTGAACGTCCAGCAGCTGGAAGACATGTACAATAAGATGGCCAAGACCCAATCTCAACCCATCCTCAATACCAAGGAGTCAGCAACACAGAGCAAACCAAAGGAAGAACTTGAAATGGAGAGCATCCCCAGCCCCATCGCCCCTCTGCCCACTCGTACAGAAGGGGTCATTGACATGCGAAGCATGTCGAGCATTGACAGCTTCATTAGCTGTGCCACAGACTTCCCTGATGCCACCAAATTCTCCCATAGCCCTTTGGCATCCCTCCCCAGCAAGACTGGGGGCAGGACAGCCCCAGAGATAGGCTGGCAGGGAGCTCTGGGCGCCAGCGGTGGGAGATTTGTGGAGGCTAATCCCATCCCCGAGGCCAGCCACCACTCTGCTTTCCTCATTGAAAGCCCCAAGAGTTCCATGAAGACCAACAACCCCTTGAAGCTCCGAGCACTTAAAGTCAACTTCATGGAGGGTGATCCCAGTCCACTGGTCCCCGTTCTGGGGATGTACCACGACCCTCTTAGGAACCGGGGGGGTGCTGCAGCTGCTGTTGCTGGACTGGAGTGTGCCACACTCTTGGACAGGCCTGTGCTGAGTCCAGAATCCTCCATCTATACCACAGCAAGTGCTAGGACACCCCCCCGGTCGCCTGAGAAACACACAGCAATAGCGTTCAACTTCGAAGCAGGTATCCACCAGTACATTGACGCGGACACAGATGATGAGGGGCAGGTGCTCTATAGTGTGGACTCCAGCCCTCCCAAGAGCCTCCACGGGAGTGCCAGTCCCAAGTTCAGCGTTGGGACAAGATCAGAGAAGAACCACTTTGAAAGCTCCCCCTTGCCCACCTCCCCTAAGTTCTTAAGGCAGAACTGTATTTATTCTACAGAAGCATTGACTGGAAAAGGCCCCAGTGGTCAGGAAAAGTGCAAACTCGAGAACCACATCTCCCCCGATGTCCGCGTGTTGCCCGGGGGAGGAGCGCATGGAAGCACACGAGATCAGGGCATCTGAGCTCCCCAACGTGGTGGAGAGACTCGTGGTGAGGTCCAGAGAGGGATGCTGTTCAGCTTACCTGCCACAGAGCTTTTCTGCATGAACTCTGAAACAGAAAGGCTCTGCCAAGCCCCCAGAAAGAAGAGAGACTCCAAAGAAGGCTCCCCAGAACCTTGAGAGCCAAGGACAGGTCCACCAGAATGAAGCTGGCCGAGTCATCGGATATGGCACCTCCTTGTCACAACTCTACTGCCCTCTTTGGGAGATGACATGAGCAGGTCTCACAGCCACCACTTCCACATTCTAGACATAACCGAGACCACCTGCTCCCAGTCTTTGCTTCTGGCTCTCCGTCACAGCCTCGCAGGGGAATATCTCCACCCCTCCCGGCTTCAGCTGGAGAAGAACGCTGGAACAGTGGCTTGTGTTTGTTGAAAGAGGGGGTTGACCGATTGGTACTGGGTGTTGCCTGGATGCCTCTAGGAACTCCTGCCATCACCTTCTGGGTCGAACCCACTCCCGGAAGGCTCCAGGGAATGCTTGTGTCATGGGGAAATCTCTGCGCCATAAGCCACGATCCCAGCTCACAGCCCTTATTGCTCAAATGTCTTCATTGACTTCAGTATTCCGTAGTAGCTGAGATTTTATTTTGAGATATCATCAGGGTGAGTTGCACCACTTGTACTCGATTCTAATTGCCCCCGGCAATCTGGGAAGGGTTCAGAAGGTGGGCGCTCAGCAGGCAGTATGAACTCTGAGCACTGTTTTAGGATGGTAAGAGGAAAACACTTTCTGTACATCGCTAGTGTAGACTCAAAAGATATGCAAGTGTCAAATATGCAAAAGATATAGCTTATTCAAAGAGACTGTATGTTCCTGAAGAACAGAATAAAATCTGATTTATTTTTACCTGCAAAAACAAAAGGAAAAAAGAAATCCCCAATTGCAATGCCCAGTTCAGACTTTTGAACACTGCCTGCGGTGGCAGGGACAGCATCTACTATAATAGAAATTCTTTTTTGTTTCTGTGGTATTCAAGTTTAAAAAAAAGTTAAAATAAAAAGCACTTTATGTTTTTCAAAAATAGGTTCTACCAGGGACAGTGTCAACATCTTGCACTTTAAAACAAGCTCTATTTCCCGGGGGCCACTTGTTGGAGCTACCGTTAGGTTGTCGCTGTGTGCCTGTGTTGGCCACGTGAGGGAGGCTGTGCTGGTATCGCTGGCCGCCGTTCAGAGTCTCCTTCCCTGCCCCAGAAGCTTCCCATAAGAAGCTTCGGGAAGAGTCCTTGGCCCTTGCAGGGGGCCTCTCATACAGTCCCGTGTACAGGAAACATCTCAGCAGACTGCAGTAGACGGTTGGGTGTTTTACTCTGTTCTCTTTCTTGTCAACCAGCTGTTGGTGTGTGTTCAGTGTCACTGTCTGTACTGCAAGCTCAGCTCTCCTTTCTGCAGCCATCAATGCAGCCAGTACAGACAAAAGCAATAAGTATTTGTGTGCATCATGAGCGGCCCCAGCGTTGGTCCTGCCCATCCTAACTTGGTGACCTGGTGTGGGCCTGTCTGATTTCAGTCCAATGGCACAAGCTGTTGGCCATTCCTCAGTTCAGTGACATCAGGTTGAGCCACTGCTGAGCCCGATGGTATGCCATGGGCCCATCTGTCAGTAGAGCTGGCACGTTATTGATCTGCCTGTCTTTAGCACAATGGAACGATGTCATTCTCTTAATACAATGTTGATGGATGATGTCCCGAGTACAGTAGTGTAGACGTGTTGATCCTCGACACAGTGACAGGCATATGTCTTCCTGAAGGAACAAAACACGGTTGGATTCGCCTGTTCTTCATACCATATGTTGTTGGTCTGCCTGTTAGTACCACCACCTGTGGGTTCACAGTTATCACCAAGTCTCTCTGCCCACCCTCTGTACTGTGGCCAGAGGCTGGGCCAGCTGTCATGGGTGTAATGACATGGGGTCCTTCCACCACCCTTAAAATGCACTGCTGCCTACACCCGCCCACTTCCTACTGCTTCTCAGCATCACAGAGGATCACAGATCCCACCAAGGGGGAAAATGAGCTCCGAAGTAGGTTGCTTCTCTGGAGGTGTCTTCAGATGGCTCTCACGGCAAACGCAAGGGCCTGTAGGAAGCAGGGACAGCGTGAGGTCATCCTGGGCCAGTGGCACCCGAGAGGCAGCAGCAGCGAGCGCCTCCGGGGCACTTGGCTGAGCGCACGGCTCGAGCTGGGGTCTGCGAGGAATGGCCAGGGGACAGTCCATCCCGGGCCTCTCCCGTGTCTCTTCTCTGTTTTCATTGCCATTTCCATCCACCATCAGCACAAATGTGACAATTCAGGGAAAACAAAAGCTTTTTGATAAAAAGTCAGTAGTTGTGATTTCCGATTCAGATATTTTTAGAGCTGATGCTATCTGTAAAAATTAATAATAATAATAATAATAATATAGTCTATTTTACATATCAGGAAAGTGAATATGTTTAAATATAGCCATATATAGCGAGAAGGAACTCACCACCCCTTCTTCAAATCAAAGCATTTCATTTGTTGGTTGAAGCAGACGAGCAGTGTACAGATTGGAAATGATTTCTTTCTTTCTTTCTTTTTTTTTTTTTAACAATAACCAATTGGTGCAACTCTCCTTGTAACCAAAGCCCTTTCTGCCTTGTGTGGTCATGCGGGACCTCGCCCTTCATTTCTCGTGTATTTTTGTCTGACCTTAAAGTAGCATTTCACTGAGTCACTTTTGAAGGACGAATTCAGAAGTATCATTGAGAACCTACCTTTCAGGCTTAATAGCCAGAGTCCTATAGAGTTCTTATAGAAACAGAATAATTGAAACTCAGCATATACTATGCTTAGAAAGTATTGTGTTTTGTTTTGGCTTTTTCTTTTACTTGTGTATGTATCATGGGAAAATAGCTTTTACCCTGTGCCCCATTCCAAATAGAGTATTCTAAGTTTTCCCAGGCCCCCACCTGCCAAAAAGGAACATACCCAGATTTTTAACGTGTGAACGCCCTCCCAGGACGTGCACTGGGAAATCTCCCCAAGAGTCTCCACTGAGATGCTAAGCTTGATAGCTGGGTCTTGATAGAGAAGAAGAAAGCCATGGTTTGGAGGCAAATACTGCTTTGACTTGGTGGTCCATGTCCCAACCATTCCTGAACCAGCGAAAGCAGAAAAAACACAAGTCAACCCAAAGAAATAGAATGAGAGGCTGGCGGTGGAGCCATCCCTGGCCCCTGGAATGAATTCAGCGAAGCTCATCGGGTCCGACTTGAGTTCCAACTTCCACCATTACCAGAAAGGATGAGGGGCCCGGGGCCTCTGTGTCCTGAGCACCAGGGGAGAGTGTGACCAGCAGAGAGAGGTGGGCAAGCTATAGAAAAGACACTTTCTCCACCTTTTCATCTTTGGGTGAAGAAAAAAACCACAGGGCTTCGGTGCAGTGGATTTCTCAGTGCCTTCTTTAAGGATTTTATCTTAAGCACACTTCATGGGGAAAGATTTAAGAGGAGAGCACATTTGTGCCCATGAAGCCCCTTCCTAAAAGCATCGGGGGTTGAGAAAGAAGCAGCAGCAGAGGAGAAAGAGCAAAAATCCTGAGGGGACCACTTCTTACAGCCCACCCTCCCCTGAGGACTGCTGACGACCAAGGCGTCTTCAGACTGACTCAGCTTCTCCTCCACTGTGTCTTAGTAACTGTAGCCTCGTTCCTGCCCTCTCTCCTCATCGGATCCACATTTCTAAGGAGAAAAAAACAAACAGTATTCTCTTCTGTAAATCAGTGATGCGGCATTGATGTTTGTTAACTATTGTCTATTTTTGTCTTGCTCCAAATCGTGGCTGGAGTGTCTGGACACGGGAAGATTTTAAGTCACCACAGACAAGGGTCGCTAAAGCCAGGTCTCTCTCTTTCTCCTTTCCATATTTCTCTGTCAACTCGTCCTAAGTAATATAACCCCAGGCTCCAGTCTCCAGTCGCATAACTTTGAATCAAATGAGAGCGTGCTCAAACACCTCCAGAACACCATCCTCTGGAAAAGGACTTCTGTGGCTTCAAAGTTGGCAGGAAGACGAAGGGGCTCTTCTGAGTCCTCTAGCAGGCCAGCAGAGAGCTTCCAGCCAGCCCTGAGCTGAAGTTTCCTCGCCTCTCACTACTTACATGACAGCATCCAAATGCATTCACTCAGCCAGGGGGACCCTAACCAGCCCTGACGACACCCAGAAATAAGAGTTACCTCTGCATTTTCTGTTGCCATTTTTCTGGCTCTAGAACTATCGGATGCGTGACTACGTCATAGAATGTCCATGCATCTCAGAATAGTCTATTTTTCTGTTTAGATACAATATAAATATATGTATTTTTAGCAAATTTATAATAGGGCATTGAGTCTAATTTCTTCTTTTGTAATACAGAATAACATCTTAGGAGTTTTATTGTTGGTCATGATCACAGCTGGTATATTCTGGTCCTTTTCATTTTTTCCTATTGCCCCTTGAGCTGTTTTTTCTCCTCCTCCTTTTGATTCTGATATTTGGAACGTGGGGGGTGGAGGGGGGAGCTTGGGGGCCTGCCTCTCTCAGGCAGGTGTTTCCTGACCGTAGGCCTTGCGTCTGCTGGCACTGTCCCCTTCCTTGTTCTGTTTGTGTGTTTCTCCTACTTGTTCTAAGAATCCAAGGCTCAGATGCAGGAGCGGGACCAGGGACACAGGCCCTGGAAATCGGGTTAGGATGGGGGCCTATTCAGTGCCTTCCCTACACCTCGCTGGGGCTGTAAGGGGGCTGATTTTCTCATCCCCAGCGATCTCACAACCGAAGATCTCATGGAAGCAAACTTCCCGCTGGCATTTCCAAGGTCCAAAACACACCCGAGCCTCTCTCGGCTGGCCCAGCGCCCCCTGCCCTGTGACATTAATAGGCCCTGAAGGCCAGAGTATTTTCAGGTTCTTGCAAACCTGGTAGAACATGCTGGGCCTCAGATCTCATCAACCTTTCATCAGTTCCTCATGTCAGTCCATTTCCAACAGCTCACCAAAAAGCAGTGGCCAGACACCCAGCCAAACCCCAAGAAGACGTGTCCAGAATCTGCCATCTCATCCCCCTTCCCTTCCCAACTGCTTGGCTCTGTGCAGCCAGAATGTACGCAGGGGCCGCAGTACTTTTCCATCTTCCACCACTCCAGGCCTTGGGGAGTTTCTGGACCGTCCTGATAATTAATTCCACCAGGCATTTTCCAACCTTGGACAGGCAGAGGACACCTCATGCAACAGGATCTTCAGCAGAGAGGGGTTCTCCATCCATCAACGCATGCAGGAGGGTGAAGACAAGACAGAGAATCTCCTGCTTGCATTTACGTGGGGGGTTCCGATCCCCTCTGCCTCACTGGGCTCTGGCTTCTGCCCAGATCAGACACAGGAACCAAATCAGGACCCCCACATGGCATCCCATTGGCTCCACCTCAAGAGGAAACCAACCCAAGTATGAATTTATTATTGTGAACCAAGACCCTAATCTTATTTCTCCCACCCCCAAATTCCTGGTAATATGGTTGAAGCAGAGCCAAATAAAACAAATGAGAATTTTTGTTTAACTTTTGCACAAGAACAACATAAAAATTGTCTCCCAGTGGTTTGCTAGGTCTGATGCCCAGATTAGCAAACACGCTTGCTTGCCTGTGACTGTTTTCATCTAGAAGGAATGTATAATTTGGGTTTCCATCCACTCTCCCTGACACAATCTTAACCTGGAATTTCTCCTGAAAGCCCCAAAATGCCAACTTGAAGAAATAGATTTGGAAGGAGCTCTGATCATCAAGCCACACCTCATCTTCACCTCTAACTCCCCATTTTTCTTGCAAAGATCCAAAGCTACCCAGGATGGGGTGGTGTGGGGGCAGTTTATCTGCAAAAGAAACCAGCTGCTTGCAAGGCTTAGGATGTTTCTTTCACATGTGATGGGCAAGGAGTCCATTCAGTTCAAAGGAAGGAAGCACGTCTAAGAGGTGGGGCCGCCTCACCATGGAACGTGATGTCATGTTGGTCATGGGTTCCCTGACACCACCAGTGTGTAGAGGGAGTCTGGAAGGTATAGGAAGTGGATGTTGCAGAGGGAGCTTGGCTTTGCATGCAGCTGGACTGAACAACCAGGGAAATCCTCTCATTCTCTCTCTCTCTCTTTCTGTTGTGGCATGTGTATGCATGCGTGCGTGCGTGCGTGCGTGCGTGTGTGTGTGTGTGTGTGTGTGTGTGTACTGAATACTTGGGCACAGATGTAAGCCCCCTGACGCAAAGGCAAGGAGCGCAGTTAATAGGAACTCAAATTCTAAGATTTGGAATTTTCAGAGGGGATGTCAGAAAGGAAACTGGCAGCCGGTCACCCTTCTCCTCTCTGTTCCTCATCCTGGACACTTTAAATGGCCCTTTTGACCACCCAATAAACCCTTCCCTAGTGCCCTAATAGGAGCCACACTGGTTACCTTCCCCCAGGCCAGCCAAGGAGCCATCCTGTCTCTGGCTGGCCATCTCACGGTGCTTCGGCCCTCCTGCCAGACCCCGTGCCCTCACAGGCCCGATGCTTTCAGTACAAGAGACACAATTATCCTTTACTCACGAGCCAGCTGCCTAATGAACAAACTGCCCAGGCAATAGCAAATTGCACCATTTCCAAAGGGCTTTTTTTTTCTGGCAAATAAAACAGGAAACCCACTCAAGACCTTGGTAACGTCTCCACCCAGTGAAGTAAGTTCAGAAAGGCCCAAAAAGAAGTGACTGAGTTTTACAGCAAAACAAGTCTTTGGCTACCCCAGGAGGGATCCCGGCCATCAGCCACACCTAGAGCTCCTTCCAGAGGGGACCTGGACACTGAAATCCCTAAGGAAAGCATTTGACAAAAAAGTTCTTAACTCTCCCCGCAACAGTGTTTGGTGGGTTCGAAGCAGGTGGCACTCTATCCTCAGAGCAACCCCAAGTCCAGGCAATTGCAGGTGGTTTTACTACAGCAATAGGTTTGGAGGGATAGACTGAGCATTTGCCTTCCTCCAGAACCAAAACAAAACAAAAACCCAGTTTCCAAATCTCCCTGTGATGCTCTGTCCTGCAGGAATAGCCCAAGTGAGTGATTGCAATGACATGACAATTCTGGGAAAGCAGGTGACTCCCAGCTCTGGCCTCTGTGGTCACTCTCGCGAGTTGTGCATAATACCCGTCTCCCTGCCTCCCTGAGCTAGTCCAGGTTGGAGAGAAACAGGTAATCACAGAAGACGCCCAAAGGATATAGGCCTCCCCAAGGGTCTTCACTGCAGTTTGGGATTTTCTCTAGATGCGCTTGACATTTAAACTCGGCGTAGTGCATGACGGGTGGGGAAGAAGTAGGTCAGCAGCTGCTGGGCTGGGCAGCTGGCCCCTTTGCTGTCCAGTCCCAACCTAGTTTCAATCCAAGGTCAAGGGCTGGAAACACCATTCAGTGTACCAGAAACTCAGGGTTATCCCCCATTGTATGCCATTGGCACATGGCGTTCACCTAACCTGTTTCTTTGAGTGAGTAACCTTGCAAATGATTGACTACTGAGCGATCAAGTGGATGAGTGAATGTGTGAATGAATAGGGGAGTTCATTAGTTCTTACAAGACCTGAGGTCTGGATAACTGAAGGAAGGCGAAATGGGAAGCTCTTCCCATTGAAGCCGGTAACAGCCACACCAAGACCATCTTTGACTCATTCTGGAGCCAAGATCTCATCCAAAGTTGACACTTGTCTGCCCTAAGGCCACAACCTTCTCAGAGCTACCCTTCTAGGGGGTCCTGGGGCACCCCCAACCTTCTTCCTACTCTCCCACCCTACCTTTTCAGCCTCATGTTCTAGTTTAGCTCACACGGAACCTATGGGGAGACCACGAAGTGGCTTTCCAATGGGTTAAGCCAAGAGTCTGGAGTAAGGGTTTCTCCTGGTCTGGGACTTGCTAGGGGCAGGGATGTGGAGCTGACATCTGAAACTGGATCGCATTCCCTGAGCCATGGGAATCCAGCTGGAAAAGAGAGCCAGCCTGTCCTCTGGCTTTTAGAGTCCACGGTGTTCCTTTTTTTCTGAGCCCAGCCCCCTCCAAGGCAGCATGCGCTCCAGTCCCATGAGCTAAGACCCTCTGTCTCTCCCAGGAACCCACAGTGTGAAGTTGGGGCTTTTCTGCCAGCAAAGCCATTCTGATCACCCCACCCATGATGGGGGCCAAGCCAATCACATTAGCCATAAATGACCAATGTCCTTAGTCTCTCTTTTCCCTGGGTCACATTCGTGGGTCCTGTTCTTCTCTGGTCAGTTCATGTCTCTAGTCCTTCCTGTAAAGGTGAAAATGAGCATTGTGCATACACACACACACAGAAACAAACAACAAAAAAAGAGTGTCTTTTTATGCATGTGATAAGATGACATTGTGACCTCCAGCTGCTGTCCTGTCTTGTAAAATACGTCCAAATGTTTAAGAATTTCTAAGCAAATGGTCCCTTAATGAAGTCTGCAGAGTTCAATAAAAAGGTATGGAGAAAACAAGCCTGGCAGAGTTTGTTTTATTTTCTGGAGGGCACAGGGAGGTAGGAGCATGAAGATCTGTAAGAGAGCATGAATCTGGGAGCCTGGGAACCTGGAAGGTCAGCACTAGCTGTTGCTCTTCGCCTGAAAGAGAGGGGGCATGAAAATAGAACTGATTTGTCACTCCAATATGCAAGCAGAGGTAACCCAACCCTTGCTGTGTTCATGGGTCAAAGTCCGGTCACTTGGTTCGCATGTCAACCATGCCTAGAGAGTCCTTAATACCTTAATGACCTTAATAGCTCTCACTCATAAGAATGTCTCACAATAGAAGTTATAACTTCAAATGCCTGCAGGAGCCAAGCAGGTAACATAAATGAATAAGGCAATCTACTAAGAGACATAAGGGAGTGGTCACGAGTATGGCCAACTGAAGAACACACTACCTGTCCAATTGGTCATTGCGCACAGCAATGTAGACCCAGATCTACTGAGTTTTTAAGAGAAGTCAGAAATCTGGATTTGTAGGGAAATAGCCCAACTGTTAGATGTTAGTAACTAATTCTAATTTGCTTTTAGTCCTATTATGACTCAATGAAACCTTTCTGTGGGCAGACAATAGCCATAGGCTAACCTTTTGTGATCTTGGCCTTGGTTGATGGGGCTTGATGATTTTGGTAATAGTTATCTATCGCTGAGTAACAAATTACCCGAAAACTTAGCAGCTTGAAAGATGTATCACCTCATTGCATGGTGGGTCAGGTGTTCTTGAGCATCTTTAACAGAGTGGTTCTTATTAAGGTTGCAATCAAGAATTAAGACCTCAGCTGCTTGTGAGGTTGTTGTTGTGAGGTTGTGAGGTTGCAATCAAGAATTAAGACCTCAGTTGCCATCATCTGAAGACTTGACTGGGGGTGGAGGACCTGCTCTAACAGAGCTCAGAAAGCTCATTCCTTACCATGTGGACCTCTCCACTGGCTTGTCATTGTCGGAGGAAGACAGCTCCCCAGTGTCAGTGATTTGAGTTAGAGCAAAGAAGCATGTTTCTGTGACCCAGTCTCAGAAATCAGACACCATCACTTCCCCCAAAGTCTGTTCATGATTGTGCTCACCTGTGGAATATAAATAACCAAAAAACGCACACAGGCAAAACACAGCAGGAATAAATCTTGGACTTGGTGAAAGAACTTAAAGGTTACCAGAATGAATGGGGGGAGGGGTGGAGGTGGGACCAAAGAGGGGGTGTTGGCACAGGTGGTTTGGTGGAGGGTGAATGCAACATGTGCACATATGGAAGAGCCAAAATGTAACCCCAAAGTTAAAATCTTTTAAGATTCTAATGATAAAAGTTCTGTCCATGTTATGTAATTGACAACATTTCATCTTTTTAGTAGTTGACAAACTAGCATTTCTTCATTGAAAGAACAATCTATAATGGAGTAGACTAGACTAGACTAGATCAGCATGTATGGCTCATATAAGGTGAACACAGATTTGTGAAACTTTCAGTAGGTGCATGCGTGTGTGTGTGTGCATGCAAGCACACTTCACAGGTCTACAAGTCTTAGTCAAAAACATCTGAGAAGCCAGTCATCTATCTGTGGCCATTTGGTTTGTTTGCATAGGTTAGCTACTGTAAATAGTGCTGCTATGAACATAGGGGTGAAGGTGCCCTTTTGAATTAATGTTTCTCTGTCCTTTGGGTAAATACCTAGGAGTGGAATTGCTGGGTCATGTGGAAGCTCCATCTTTACAGGTTAAGGAATCTCCACAATGTGCTCACTCATAGCAGGAATTTAGAAAACCTAAATAAGGGACCAGGAAAAAACCTAATTATAATAAAGTAAAAATCAAAATCAACAAACAACTATAAACCAGAGACACACTATTGTGGGGGAGGAGGGAGTAGGATCAAAACAAGGGGGGTAGGAATTGTATGGGGAATATAACCAAGATGAAAATGCATACATTGTGCAAAAATGAAAAATGATGTAAAAAATGTATAAAATAAAAACAAAACTTCTGAGAAGCAATAGCCTAAGGGAAGCAGGCCTGGCACAGGCACTGCCACATTTCAGGAGCACACTTCCTTCTCTCCTTCCCCTCAGACTCCCATCAGCCTTGGCTTGGCCCCTGTCTTCTTTCCTGCCCTCATGAATATCACACAGACCCAAGCTCAAAAAAGGCCGTGCTGTCAGTGACTGTGCAACTGTTCCCCCTCCTCCGGGAGAGGAGCAGGTGTGGCGATGCCCCAGTCCTGAGCTCATTGCCTGTCTGGGGACGTGACCTGGACATGCGTCCTCACCCCAAATATTAGCAGAGCTGATCATGAAGAGCCAACTGGAGGCATTTAGAGGTTCCGCTCTGCAAAGGTTTGGGGCTAATTCAACCCTCTCTAAAGAGTCACTGTGGGAAACCAATGCCAAGAAGGTATTTTTGTGCTTCTCTCTCTGTGTGTGTGTGTGTGTGTGTGTGTGTGTGTGTGTGATTTTTCTCATTTCCATCCCTGAGTATCAAAAGAGAGAGTCTGGGAGAAGATATTAGAATCAGAAAAGCAAAACTTCTAAGAGAATCTACTCTCCTGTCTTCCAAAGGGAAGGGAATTTGACACTGCAGGTGAGACAAGAAGGAGCAGATAATTTGATGGGCAATGAACCCCATGCTAATAAATAGGAAGTTGTAAAAGGGAAACATGGGCTTTTAAGCCACAGCTCAGTCTAGAGGTTCAGAGAAGAAACTTGGGGTCTGAAGAACCTGAGTTCAAATTCTAGCTACACCATTTCCTTGCTGTTTGACCCAGGGCAAGTCATTTTCACTCCCTGAATCCTGGTTTTCTGATCTGAAAGGGGGAACTAATAGCATCTACTGTGCAGGGCTGCTGGACAGCTTCAACAGAGATGCAGAGCTTACTTAGCCCAAGGTCTGGCATGCAGCCCATGATCCATAATGGCAGGTTTTGTTGTGACCACCATTATTATTCCCACAGCAACCTAGACCCTATGTCTGCCCCTGAATGGAGATCAACTGTCCAGGTTGAGCACTTCACAATGCCAGAAATCAGAGGAACATAAAAATTATACCAGTCAACATTTATTGAGCATTTATTGTGTGCAACGCACTGTTCCAAATACTTCACAGGCATTGAGATTAATTCTTAGCAACAACCCTATGAAATACAACCTATGAAATTATCATTGTGATAATCATCAAACAACCTGTGAAATTAACACCATCAACAACCTGGGAGATTATCACCATCCTTATTTTACAGATGAGAAACTGTATTCATTAGCTATTTTCTGTATAACAAATTACTGCCATACTCAATGACTTAAAATAACAAGAAACATTTATTATCTTATACACTCTCCGTGGCTCTGGATTTGGAAGTGGCTTAGCTGGATGGTTCTGAAAGTGACTCTCTGATGAGGATGTCAACCAGGGCTGCTGTCTCATCTGAAGGCTTGAGTGGGGCTGGAAGATTGCTTCTCTCACATGTCTGTAGCCATGAGGCAGAGAAAATGGCGGAAGGCCTTGTTTCTTCACCACAGGAATCCCTCTACAGCGTTTCTTTCATATCCTTACAATATGGCCTACGGCTTACCGCCCAGAGTGAGTGATCCAAGAGGAAGAAATGCTACAATGTGTTTATGTCCCCCAAGTTTTTTCATTTTGGCAAAATATGCATAACATCATCTTTGCCATCTGTAGCCATTTTTAAATGTACAGTTCAGAGGTATTAAAGGCATTCACGTTGTTGAGAAGCCATCACCACCTCCCATCTCTAGAACTTTTCCATCTTGCAAAATTAAAACCCGTTAACAATAATTTCCCACTCTCCTCCCACCCCAATGCCTCCCCCAACAAATACCAGTCAACTTTCTATCTCTGTGAATTTGATTCTTCTCAGTACCTCGTATCAATGGGGTCATAGGGTGTTTATCTTTCTGTGGCTTGCTTGTTTCCCTCGAGTGTCACATCCTCAAGGTCCATGTTGTAATCTGTATCAGAATTTCCTTCCTTTTAAAGGCTGAATAATATGCCATGGTCACGTTGTCTTTTTATTATCCAGCCTTGGAAGTCACACACACTCTCACATCTACAATAACCTCTTGGTCACACAGGACAGCCCAATTCACCACGCAAGAGGACAACACAGTGAAGTAAATACCAGGCAGTGACCTGGCAGCCATAATGGAGGCCGATGACCACGGAACTGAGACCTCAGAGCTTTCATGAGCTACCTAGGTCACACAGTAGGCAGGTGACTGAGTGAGGCTTTGAACCCAGACCATAGGACACCAGTGTGATGTGTAAACTACACTATGTATGTACCCACTCATTCTACACCTTGGTGCTGGTGAAGAAAGAGGCACCTGGTGGGTGAAGATGCCTGGATTGGAGCCTCAATTCTGGTACTAATTCACTGTGTGACCAGACACTGCCTCGCTACCAGCCCCCCATTTCCTTAGGGCAATAATAACTACTTCCCACCCTATTGAGGTGAACAGAGAAAATGAATACATTGTATAAAACTTAGTCCACAGACACAAAGGTGAAAATAATCCATTTTCTTCTTCTAAGTTTTTTGAAAATGTTTATTTATTTACTAGGTAATCATTTCATGGGGTTCTAGTTGGGAAGGTTTGAAAGGGTAGGCACCCCATCCTTCAGACACCTACTTTCCCTCTCCAGGGGCAACCGCTGTGACTAGTTGCCTGTTGAAATATCACATTTCCTTCTTTTCTTAAACCAGCTTCATTTCCAAGGACATGCTGAGCTGGGGAGAACGTCAGTTCAGTGCCCCATGGGGCTGGGGACCTATGTCTCACCTGGCACCAAGGCGTGAAGGGGGGAGAGGGGACAAGGCCATCAGTTATCTATTGTGTAACCACTTTAGTGACTTTGGAAACCCTTGTCCCTTGTCCAGGCAAATAGAACCCTTGGAGCCAAGGGGAGTAGCTGAGGTTCTCACGCAGGTCCAGAGCCAAAGTTGTAAGCTCTTCCTCACTCCACTA